AATTTTGCTTTACGTATTTTATTCAGCATTTCCTGTTCCTGGGATGATACATAAGCTTCTTCTAAACGATTATTTAAGGGGCAATACGGTGGTGCAGTAAGTATAGTCAGCACTGTCACCCCACACCTATAGGACCTGGGTTCAAGTCTCCACTGCAGTTCCATGTGTGTAGAGTTTGCATGTTCTACTTGTGTCACCGTGGGGTTTCCTCCAGGTATAAGTGACCAGATCGATCTCTCCTAGTCGATTGAACTCTCATTTACAACCACATTGTGTCCATTCCGTCGTGGCACTGTATTACATTCTACCTTCCCCAAAAATTTAAAGATGCTCTCCTTTCTTTAGCATGACAGTTAGGCTGTGCTAACTTTCACTGGCTACAACATAGTGTTAAACATATTTCATCCGTGTAGTTGCTTTTTTAGGAAATGTTTTGAGACATTAGGAGTGGACTTATCATAAGGGTAGGCAGCCGCCTAAAAATTAGGGACCCCATGAAGACATAGTTTCCAGAAGTTACTTTTAAGGATACAACATGATATGGACCATTCCTCCTCTAAGACTACACGCTACCTTCTTTTACTGGAGTCGACTGGTTGTTCATTGCCAAGCTAACCGGCACAAATTTAAGATACAAGACTATCACTACATCTCCTTTGTAAGGGAATTTTAAGAAAAAAAGGAGCACTGAAGTAAAGAAATAAAGAATATTGTGATAATCATGAATATCATTTGATATGTAAAAAAATCATGATAAAATATTTTACTGCATCGCTATTAGGAATCTCTTCCAGGAGTTTTCCATACACCAATCCCATGTAAATGACCAGCCAGAAAATACTTGCATGCATCTAAACTTTTATAAGCTTTAAACTGCTCATGCCTGTACCTAGACTTCGTGTGAACTAGATAGTTGAGGATGATGTCATAATACTTGAGGTCGGGGATATTGCCCACACTGCAGCGCTTCAGAGGTACAAAAACATGACTCAGTAAGGAGAATCAATCCCATATACCAGCCCAGTTGAGTTTCCATTGGCATCTGTTACAGTCAGTCCTGCTACAACGTGACCAATACATTCTTGAAAAAATCTTGCGTTCACTTAAATCGCGTACTAAAATACACATATCAAATGGGGAAAAAAAGGGTTAGGGTAATGCGAATCCAAAACTTAGTAAACAAAATGAATAAAATAATAAAAACAGTGATACCAGTGGCCATATACATTAATAAATTATATCACAGAAATCGCCTGAGTCTAATGAGTCTCAAGGGAATTGCATAGTAATTGCTGCAACTAAAAGTGTGGAACTCACTAACTTGCCAAGAGTCTGGAGTAGTGATGACCAAAATGACACTTCATGAACCATTTGCTTTATTTTCTGACCCCACTAGATGGTGCTCTTGGTTTATGTTAGAGCATAGTGCAAGGGTGGGCAATCTTATCCGGGCCAGTGTGTATGCAGGTTTTTGAGATAATCTTTAGGTCAGCTGTTCAAATACAGGTGTGAGGACTCTTCAGCCAATCAGTCCTCTAATTAATAATCTAATTAATGAGTCGCAGTGAAAATCAGTGCTTGGTGCTTGGACAGCGGCGGTCTCCTCTAGTGTTGGAGCCTGGTCTTTGGTGGACTTCAGGATGGGGCCCCAGGTCCTGTGGAAGGTCTTTGGGGGGCCTCCGGTTCTGGTTGCCGTTGGGGAGGTGGGGAGGCAGCTTTTGCGCAGGGTGTCTGCTTTGAAGTGGATGGAGCAGTTGTTTCTTTGGCGGGCTGTGCTTGACTGCTGGGATTGTGACTATTGCGGGGACCCCATCCTCATATAGACTGTTGGTGGTGTTGGGCCGGTGTTTTCTGGCTGTTTGGGAAGGGCAGCAGAGGTTTTTTGTGCCTTTGGACATTGGCAAGGACCGTTGATGTCTTTTCTTTGGGGTTTTGGAGTCTATTTCTGTTTGGTTTTTCGCGGTGGGTTGCGTGGGCGCCTGGGTTGGTGTGTTTTGGGGGCTTGGGTGCACATCGAGGTCCTGACAGAGGTAGTTGTGTCTGCTTTCACGGCCCTGAAGTTGAACTCTGGGGCCCCTGGCCGCCGGTGCATGTGTGTTTGTGCGCATGATCATGGGCGGGCATTTGCTGAAGGAAGTGTGTTTGTTGAAGTGGCTGGGTCTTTGTTCTGTCGAGGTTTTTTGGAAGGGTGGGGACCAGCAGTTGAATGGGACGCTGTGGTTGCTCTCTAGTCTCGTTGCATAGTAGAAAAGAAAAAAAAAAGAAAAAAAAAAATCAGTATACTCAATGGCCCTTTCTGGATAAGATTGCCCACCCCTGATGTAGTGGGATCAGAAAATGTAACAAAGGATTTATGAAGCATCATTTTGGCCATCATTTGTCGGTTGTAGTGAGTCCCAGCCACCGTGCAACTGGGCACACATACAGCACAAACACAGCGGATTAAGGTATCCGGAGGGGCACCATGCGGCCGGGCATGCACACTGCACAAACACAACAGATTATGGTATGTGGAGAGGCACTGAAGGTAATATATCTACAGTCTACAAAAAAACAAATGTAAGTGAATAAAAAAAAATATTGCTGTGTTTTTATATGATAACTTTGTCAAATATTTTTAGATTTTATGATCTAAGGCTGGCCGGGTTGCTCCAACACAAATTAAATTAATCCTGGTTTAGACTTAATCTAGGTTTAGTGAATCTAGGCTTAAACTGGTTTACAATTACTCAGAGACGCTGCACATCTTATTTTTATCCTTGGATTAGTTAAACCAGTTTAAACAATGATTAGGATTTAAACAATAAATAGGATTTATTTAGGTTGTGTCCACCATGATGGATTTTGACAAAATGTAAACAAATTCACGATGCATCCAAGGCTAAATGAACAATTCCCTAAACAAAGCTAATGCAAATGTCTCATGAACTTTCTAAAATAAAAGTCACTACTTTTACCACACTTTTGCTCTGAGTAATGTTGAGCTATTTTTTACTTTTCACACACAACTTAGACATTAATTGAGCAGTAGTCCTTTCAATTATGAAAACATTTCCCATTCACATCACCTTAGTCATCAAAATGTCAGTGCAGTCAATAGCTCCACCTACTAGGAAAACCTGCTCTCCTGTAAAATCCATCTGGTATCTTCCTCCTTGGTTCAAAATTTATGTACTGATTCTTTAAATGTGCAATTGCCTTTGATACTCTGCTTACAGTTTCACAGACTGTGGACTTGTGAACTCCAAAAAGATCCCCATCAACCATTTGAAAACTCCCTGTAGCATAAAAACAAAAGGCTATTGGGAGTCAGAGAAGTGGAGGTGCACAAGAATTCCTCTTACTTCCATGTTTGATATCTGGTTCACCCTACCCATTGTGGTATATGACAGACTCTTTTGTAAACCTATAGTGCTGGGAAAACTAACTATTGTTATAAAATCCAATTGGGTTTAACCTGTCTTGAATTTTCCTGCAAGAAACTCTTTCCTCTAATCCCATCCAGCGAAGAAATGCAGCCACGTTGTCAATAAAACTGAAACAGACCCTAACATAAACCTCCTCAGGGGGTGGTTTAAATATCACTGCTAATCCAGCTTTATACTAGGTTTAAATTTACGGGTGCAACAGACATGAATTTAATCAAGGTTTACGGGGAAATTAAACTGAGATTAGCAAATGTTTACATTTAACCAGGATTAATTGTAAACTAAATGTAATCTTGATTTAATCCAATTTAAACGTTAAACCATGTTGGTCCTTAATGTCCTTCCAGAAATGTAACAAATAAATGTATAAACCATTTGGCAGAATTTATACCAGATTAATTAAAGTTGATTACCAATTATCATTAAACATGAAGTAAGGAACTAAGATAACATTATACAAAAACAAATGCAGCCGTTGAATTTCATATTTAATAAACACCTCTGAGAAGTCACAGCGGGTCCACTGCTTAATAGGTTAAAAGTGATCTGAATCACACGATGGATTCAGTCTGAATATTCCACGAAGGCTCAGCTGGGAGGAAAATTCAAATAGGCTACTCCATGAACTCCTGGATTTACAATCTTCTACAGCCCATATTTAATATCCATGCATCCATCTTCAGGATCCATTGCTTAAAGTCACATCCGAAGGCTATGCCAGGAGACACTCAAACGAAAAGAAGTCTAGTCTAATGAATTTATAATAAAGTATCTCTGGACTGTTACCTCGAATAACGCTCACGCGAGAACATGCAAACTCCGCACGCAAAGTTTTATACAATGAGTTCAAATACCATTTAGCTAAAAAGTATAACTATTTATTGAGATTCTATTCCTGTAAAAAATTAACAGTTTCAATCGTTATTTGACTGGAGTAGTTCCAACATGATAATATTGTAAAATGCTAATAATGCAAGTTTAAAATTTAAGCAAGGTTCATAGTCGCAAAACCGGTAGACGCACCTTATATCCTCAGGCCTTCGCAACATATTCTAAGTTCTCTTTAAAATGCATTTTACCTTAAAAAAACAGTATATTGTCTAAAAAGCGTGACTATCTGTAACACGTTTAAGATCACAATCAGAAGAAAAAACATTTTTGATATTTAAAATGCTGTCTCGAATGACAAGAGCATCAGGATCAATAACCTTTTCGTGAAAAATGTATTCGTAATACATCGTCAGAAAACGATTGCGGAGAATTGTAGACTAGAAGAAAGTAGCACAGTCATGTAGCCCTTCGAAAAGGGTGTGGCTGCAGACATTTGCAGTGACGTGCTATTAACTGTGTCTCCGGCGATTCGTCCTGTGTGCTTGGAAAAAAAAAGTAGTGGTGGGTAGATGTGCGTTGCAGCAGTCTACGTTAATCGGGTTTCATAATCGAGGAAATACTTCGGTGGGGAAGGAGAAAGGGATCACAGAAATCATGGCACATGCAATGAAAGAACGATTCGATAAGTTCCTCCACGAAAAAAATCTCTTGACGGATGTATTGGTAAAGATCGAGGCGAAGACCGGGGTAAACAGATCATACATAGCCATTGGTAAGTCAACAGCGATAAAAGAAGACTGGCGTGCTCTCGCCAGGAAGCAGATGCCCACATAAAAGCGATCGACTCTTGGTTCCTGTTTCTGAGGCACGAAACAGCATGGATACATATAAAACGCGTGAAATTATCTGATCTTTAGAGTGAACAACCGTGACTATTTACACACCAACTTAAAGGCATTTATCCAAGGAATCTTTTGTGTTTTCATCGATAACATCTAAAAGTGCACGCCACCCCACATTCTTTATCCGATTGCTTAACAAGCCCTTCTGGATTTTCAAATGCGCCGTATTATCAGTCGCGAGGCCAAGTGGCATTTTAATTGGTATACTGTGGTGAAAGATGCTAACTAATGTGCCGTGCTTCTCTTCCAGCTGTCATTGCCTTTGTTGCCATATACCTCGTGATTGGGTATGGAGCCTCCCTGCTGTGCAATCTCATAGGATTCGCCTATCCAGCGTATATTTCGTGAGTTTTCTTTTACATCAAATCCACCTCCAGTTTGTCCCTTTGCGTATAAATTATTTATTACGGCCTAAATAACGACTTATTGCGTCGTTGGAATAACGTGACGGCGAGTCGCTCGCATTTTCCTTTGCAGGCACATATACGTGGCGAAAGCCTATATGCGACTTTTAAGGTCATGATTGATTTCAGGTGTCGCTGGAAACACCCATTTGTACACACTCACACGTACAGGTAATACTTCTGTATGTTTGCGCAGTCGGTAGGGCGCAGTTTGAATTTAGGACGTGTTTATTCTTGAAAAATACACTACACGAAGTCGATTCAAGATGGCATGTGTACATGCCAACCTAATCGGAGCGAAAAAGGCACCGTTTGCACGGGCAGTGAGAGGAGGTGCGCCTGAAGGGAGTGACAGGATTTTAGTTGCGTCGCGAAACAAGTGAGGCTACCGATTGAAAGCGTTTTAGAAAGTATGTCCACTCGACCCGTAACACCATGAAGAATATGCTTACTGCCGTGCGACGTGAAATGGAGATCTGGTCTCATGAGACTGGCTAGCGAAGCTCCCTTGTGCTTAATATAGAAAACTGTCGTGTTGTGCATCAAAATAACCAAACCCGAAGCACGTCTCCCACTAAATCTTTACTGCCTATTGTACAAAATGGGATATAATCTATTTAGGGGGGAGATTGCGTGTGATTTCAAACAAATACCGTTTGTAACATTAGCTTTGTTAAAATGGATCGCCCCAAGTAAACAGTGACTATAGGGTAGGCTTCGTGTTTGGTAAAAATGTGGTGCTTGTTGATCTCAAGAGGTAATGGAGGCAACGTAAGAAACTTAATTGCGGAAGCAGTTTTTTATTTTAAAAAATCGTCGGTCATTTATTTATTTTTAAGAACATATTTTGGATATTAGAAACGCATTGGATTGGCTAAGTTTGAAATAGTGGTTTTGGCAAACGTCGTTTGATCCCATCAGTTAATTCGGTTTTGCCGTTTGGTAGTAAATGAAATTAGGAAATCCATTTTTTTTTTAGTTGCCTTTCTGCTTTGAGGAAATCCTCTAGATTTTAGTGACTCATTTTTAATAAACGAGGCTGTTGGTGTTACTAAATCAGTATACCACATAAATGTACGCACAACATTTTAAAGTCTGAGGCGCTACCCGTCGTGCAACCGCTTAAATCGTTATTTTATATAGACGCCCCGTGAATTTGCCAATTCTATAAAAGTGGGGTATACTTCTATAACTGCTTAATATTATCTCGAGCTACCCTCTGTTACTGAGCCTCATCTGTAAAAGGCTGTTATAATTGAAATCTGACGCCAATCTATGCATTTGATCCCTATATAAAAACAAAGAAAACGTAGTTTTTTGCTTTTGTTGCGATCTGCATTGCCCAGCCCAGTGAGGCTGCCTCGTTACTTTCGGTGGTGATCGTAGTACAACGGGGAAAATGCTGTTAATGGTGTTAAGTCTGTAAATGAAGGGGGGAAAAAAAATGAAACTCTCAAATTACACTCTAACGCTTATTTGAAAGGCAAAACAGCACAGGTTACAAATTCAACTGATGCCTTATGAATGTCGTGTCGTACGATGTTAGGGTTGGGAACTGTCGCGTGTATGTGTTAAAATGCGGTCAATACAGTGTTTAATGTATAAGGGTATTGAATGAAGAGAAAATTAACCCTTTTAGTTAAGATTTTGATATGATTGCGTGCCATGATTTGCAAATTGATATCACTTGTTTCCAAGCGACCTGCGTATGATTGTTGTTTAGATGTTTGATGTTAAGTGTGGCTGTTCCGTTTCTGTGTGTATGTGCCACTAGCTTTGTAACCGCAATCGTAACTTTAATAATGCCTGTTTGAGCATAGCAGGGTGGGGATTACCATTGAACAATCAGGTTTGTGTTTATTTTGTTTACTTTAGCAAACGCATGTGTTCTTCTCATACTTTATTTTCCCATGTATGGACAACATTTCTAACAGAAGCCTATAACCTAAATTGCAGGATTAAAGCGATTGAAAGCGCCACCAAAGATGACGACACGAAATGGCTGACCTACTGGGTGGTGTACGGGGTTTTCAGCGTGGCCGAGTTTTTTGCTGACATATTCCTGTCCTGGTTCCCGTTTTACTACATAGGAAAGGTAATTCTGTGGATGTGCACATTGTACCATGGCTTAAGCATTGAAGAACATTGTACTGTGATCAGCTCTAGGTGTTCAATTCGATCATCTTGTCTCAAGAGCGTTTGCTGGATCATATTGGGGATCATATTTCAAGAAGTGAGGTTAATGTCTGTTGGCAGGATGACATCCTTCCTGATTTCATATGTGTTGGTAACACCTATTTGGGAACATAATTAGCTCCTAGCCAGGACATGTTTGGTCCTTTTTGGGTAGCTTATTCAGGTTGTTGTCTGTTGGGATCATGACACGCTTACTGTTTGTTAGGTTCATTTATGTATCACACAATGATTGTTTCACTATAAAAGTCAAACAGCGATACTGATAAATACCAGGCTAACTTTGAGACATGTTATTAAAAACAGAACAACTCGTTATTCCTGTTGGCCCCAACCTTGTCCCAGTTTTGTATTGATGTCCTGGAAATGGCAGGAATAAAAAAAAAAAAAAAAAAAACCCTAGAGAAGTCCCAAAGAGTAAAATGTGACAGAAATTGTTCACTTCATCAGTTGAATTGTAACTTTCATCACATGATCATGAAAGAAGGCTAATTTCCCGTGTTCTCAGTATCTGTTAGGAGATATGACGCTGTGTAGCTGCAGCTCACCCTTCAGTGTTAAGATAAGTTAACAGGAAGTGCTCCTGCTTTTTTTCTGCCTACGTAAATGATTTTACTTTTTAAAATTCCCTCCCTACTTCTAGTGTGGCTTCCTGGTGTGGTGCATGGCCCCCACCCCTTCGAATGGCTCCGTCTTGATCTACAACCGGATCATTCGCCCTTTCTTCCTGAGGAACGAGAGCAAAATTGACAGCATGGTGAAGAACATCTCAGACAAGGCCTCTGAGGCAGCCGGCAAGGTCAAAGACGAGGGTAAGGCTCCCGACAGGCACTTCTGCTGTCCTTCATATCATTTATACGCCACTTGCTTTTTTTTAAACCTGAAACAAAAGCAACATTTCACATTATAAGTACCAGTTTTGGTGGACCTTGCAAATGCCTTCTGCTGAAAGGCTTTTCTGGGTAACCACAGAAATTTCCCCTAAACTGTATTCTCATTCAAATAACCTAAAAAGCACAGCTATCTCACAAAATGGCAGAAGATGCATAGTTTTTGCATTAGATAAACGTTCCAATGTTTAATGATTATAAGAGAATCAATGGCTCCCCGAGTTTACCCTGAATTGTATTGATTTTTTGAATGCCATTTTGACGCTGAGAACATTTTGACGCTGAGAAAGCTTATGCCAATTGATCATCTAGAAGCAAGTTCCGGTTGACTTGCACGTTGCCAGTTTAGAGTCTTTTACACCAAAATTTTGTAAGGTGTGCTGCAGAGAGACTGGCGGTTGGCAGAACATTTACCCCCCCCCCCCCCCCCCCCCCTTATTTTCTAGCTAAACGAGCAACAGCAAACATCATGTTTGAAGAGAAGAAGAGCTCTTAAAACGGTCCTATTCTACCAGCTTCATCTCTTGAGGGCTATGGTTATGTCTGGATAAATTAATGTTGCCTTGAAGTTTCCTTTTATTATAAAATGAATTGTTTTAGATCGCTGACTGTTTCGTTTGTAAAAGTGGTAATCGGCAGTGTTTTGTGAAGACAGGCTAATGCCTAAAGCTAAGCAGTCCATGGCTTTTACAGCCTTTGTCTTGCACTTACATGTGAAATAGCCTTTAATGTATTGACCCTGCTATGTAAAGACCCTAATAAAGACAAACTGGCCACAAACAGAGTCCTTTCTAAATGTGTGGTAGGCAAGCACAAGAAAAATGATCACCTCATTTACATAAAGATCTGGTTTGTGATTTGGAGCTGAATCATTTTAGTATTTCAAGTAATGACGTACCTCCCCGCTCAGGGGTAATCTGCAGGCCCTTGCATACTCTAACAAGTGTAATCATTGTTCAGAATTTAAATGGATAAAAGTCCGATACAGACCACAAGCAATTGTGGAATTATGAACATATGAATTTGTAAAGTAAATTTTGATAAAATATGTAGATCAAGTATTTGGGCAGGCAGTATTAGATTCTGAAATGTCAGCAGGGCATATTTCTGGGAAGTTGAGATGGATTAGCACACTTACATGTATAGTAAAAACTGTGTATCAAATGTTTATTCACTGATCTATGTTTAAGTGAAAATGCTTCATACACTTTCCATTACATCCCCTTGAAAAGCATTCTGCTCCTTCAGACCAACAGGCCTAATTCACAGTAACTGACAAATTTTTCTTCCTCTTTGAAAGCAACATCCACAATATTCACCTGTGTGACAAAATCCAAGTGCAGATGGCTGTCTCCTTTCTTAAAATGCAGATCATTGAGATTACTTCTGAACTAGATGCACCAACAGCACAATGAAAACTGTTTGAGGCCAATTGATAGAGGGTGCTCTATACACTCTCCAGTCATTTTATCCCCCCCAAGTGTGGAAAAGAAACTATATTATTACATGTTGCGTCATAAAAGACACTAGCAGTACACTGGTGAGTAGGCTGTATTTGCAATTAGTCCACATTACAAGATTGAGATTTTTTTTATCCCAGAGTAAAAAGTACAATTCTCATTCTCTAAGTGTTACTTACATCATCACTCTAAAATATTGGGGTAGTTTAGCAACTACAAGTTAGAAATTGTACAAGGTGCAGGTGGAATTTGAGTAACACTGAATTGACAGTTATAACAGTTCACAAATATGGAACAACAGGTGCCACAAACATACCAAACGTAGTGGTGATACAATATATTATGAGCAATACAACAGCAGGAGGCTTGATTTACCAACTACCGTACGGTGCTGAATGTTAAGTGCTGTAGAACACTATTCAATATATTAGGTATTCATAAAACTCATTTGGCCAGGGATTTTTTTTTTCCTAAACTCCATCATGAATTACTCGGCTGGCCAGAAGCAACGAACCATTCCGCCAAGGCTGCTGCAGTGTCAAATCACATCCATGGCGAAAGCAAGAGATGTCTGCACAGATACAAATGTAACATTTTATAGAGTGACTTTAGTGTGGGCTGCCATAGTGACAAAAAAAAACACACACACAACTGGCCTTGTGGGTCTGTGACTGGCCTTGCCTATAATGGCTGGTCTTGGCTGCAAAAGGAGTGCATGATGGGTATGCACCATTGTCCTCAGAAACCCAACAAACAGCCTCACTGCACACTTGTTCCCTGAGATTTATTACAGTGGTTTAGATCTGGGAGCCATTTGAGGAAGCAGGGTGGGAAGAGTTAGTCTTAAAAACCTGTCTCCATCAGATTTTTCCACACCCTAACAGTTGCGAAAAAGAAAAAAAAAAAAACTGTGACTTACACAAAACAAGATTACGTATACAACTCAAGATTAAACGTGAGTACAGTGATTGAGTTTAATGACTTTATAAACAACTATATAAAACAATTCTTAGAAAAATCCATGCATTTTCGGTGTAAATTTGATTTGAAATATAGAGGAAATCTATATACAAGTGTGCACTATAACAGTATCTTGATTTGCCTAGAATTTTCCACCAGAAATACATTTGGCTGCATAGAACATTTGATATTATTGCCTACATTTGAAAGAAAAAAAATGGAATAAGAAAAGGACTTTCCTTAAGAAAAGTTCTAGTTTATTTCAGGTCTAATAGGATCCTCTCTCTCTAAAAGACCCTCCTATTTTTACATGACATGATGTAATTAAAGGGTTTCAAACTCACCTTTTGAAAACATTCACAACTGATAAGGTAAATAAAATAAACAGGGTAGCTTAAAAAATAGCTACAGAGAATAAGGATGGAATAGGTTTCCCCTCCCCGAGTGTTACATTCTGAAGAGCAATTTTATTAGCGGTTAAGAAAAAGTGATACATTTATACAACTGACAAAAAAAGCCTGAGTTGATGGGGAAAGGTAGAGTCCAAAAAAAAAACAAAGCCTGAGGAAAAAGCCCATTCAAATTTACTATTTTACAATAATTTACAGTAGTACATTTTGTGAAAAAGGGACATTTTTTAAAATTGATCACAAAATCCAGGTTATTTTACAGCTGAAACAAATTAAATAGTTCAAGCATGATGCACAAAAAAATATATATATGCAGGTGGTCACAATACACACTGTAAACGAGGTACTTTGGAAGGTGAGCCGACGTCCTTCGGGTGGCTTCTGGAAACCCCTTAAAACTCCATGCGACTGAGCACGATTACTGGTGAGCTTACGCGTCTATTATACTCTCATTAAACCTCTTAAATAGATTCAACAGCCACTTTCCGTGAGAAATAAAAACCGATACCACGATCCAGTGTTGTGGGTGGTGGGACACAGGCAGCACGCCGGTTGTGTCCATGTAAAAAAAGACGTCCGTTTTATAAAAATAAAAAATGCCTAAATGCCACGACACATTTGACGTAGCATTACTCTTAAGTATAAAAATATGTCCCCCCCCCCGGACCCGACCCGACACCAACCCCCCGGCCAACATTAGTGGGATATTACGTCTTGCAATCTTGAGAGGCCAGACAGATGGCGCCCCCTAGAGTTACACAGTGCGCTGCACAGCTTTCACTAGTTCCATAAGGCATTTACTGTGTTCTTTTGTGTCTATGGCTAACGAGTTTGCCGGCATATGTTAGCCGCTGTTATGTCTTGCGGCTGCACCAGGTCTGCTCCGGGGTGCTCTTGTGATCCGACGAGTACTCAAAAGGCGACCGGGGGTCGTACGGCGAACGTTGGTCCCGGGGAGACCGGGGCCCACTGCCGGATGCCCTGTGGTCCACCTGCCAGTCCGAGTGGTACCGGTAGTCACGGGAAGATTTGTGGTGGCCATACTCGGAGCCCGAGCGGTGGTCTGAGTGCGATCGGTGGTCAGAGCTGGAGCGGTGATCTGAATGGGACCGGTCCTTCATGCTGCTGTCTATTCTGTGGTCTCGACTGGACCGGTGATCATCCATTTTCCTGTGTTTACTGTCACTGTAGTATCTGAGGGGCACAAAACAAAGCGTTTTGTGACAACCATGTGATGTATTCTATCGGATTTTACATGACGTATTGTATTTTAGTTAATATTCAATTTTTAAATTGTTGAAATCTGCCAGTTTAAGCTACTCCATTGTCCAGTATGGATGGCACTCGTACTTAAAATGAGACATTTGTTGCTATGGCAAAACAGCCATGTTGCCATGGAAGCAGCCTACCTGCTGTCTTGCCTGTCTGATCTGTAGTGATCCCTGTCCCGGTGTTCTTTGCCATTACTGAAGGATGAGTAGGGCCTCTTCCTGGAATCAGCATTTTTCCTGTAGGCGTCCACCGCGAGCCTGTCTTTGCCATGTTCAGGGTAACGTGACGAGTGGTGCCTATCGGAGCTGTAGCTATCCCTGCTGCTGTCATCTTGTTGCGAGCTGTCCTTCAGTCTCTCGATGTCTGTTGCCATGGAAATAGTTATTTAGACCACACACACAACTATGATGGCAGTATTGTCACATGCACACCAAAGGACTTACCTGCGTTTTTAAAGCTTTGAGTATTTACAGTACTAGTGTTCTGATCCGCTGCCTGGGGAAACAGCCATATCTTGGTTAAAAAGTGGCCATCGACAATTTGCATTCATCATTTGCAGGTCAATGTATCCATTTAAACAGATTTTCATGCCTAAAACTGCCAAATTAAATGAGGGGAATTGCGTCTCACATACCTGCGCGTTCTCTTGCCGTTTCTTAATTGCATGTTTATACAGCTTATGAAGTTTCCTTGCGTCAAACTCTGTGAACTTTGAAACGAAGATCCACAGATTTCTGGAAGAAAATCAAAGCGACCAACAGTGAAAGTCTGTGTTGGCTTTCAAAATTATATACTGGCATGGGTTTATGTAAAGGCGCGGAGTGTCACTTGTGGCTGAGGGCCCTGGGTGTGGCTGCTCACTTTCTCCACTGCTTGATGTGCTCAGGGTTGGAGTACTCCTTGAGACACTCAGTGATGTGGTCACCGATCTTGATCAGGCACTGGCGCGTGTGCTCCAGTTGTTCCCGCTCCGACAGGCCCTTCTCTGGCCGGTCTAGCTGCTTGAGGGCTGCCTTCACTGGCCGCATGCGTTCCTTACACTGGGAGGCGGCATGCAGAACAGGGGGGTATGCTCGTTAGACTGAACAGCCACAGAACTTTTATTTTGAAACATTTAACTTTGGGGAAGTCAAACCAATAGCCCAAACTCTGATTAACCATATGAACCCCCCTGCTCCCCGGTTGTGTCTCAAATTTTATGATTTGGACAGTATGACTCAGCACTTAGCCAGCTCTCTGATTTGACTCTCCCTGCCGGCCCCTGGAGGATGGGCTCCCCCTTTGACTCTGGTCCCTCCCAAGACTTCTTCCTTCTCGGGAGTTTTTCCTTGCCACTGTCGCCTATGGCTTACTCACTGGGGGCGTTGGGTGGGGATGCTGTAAAGCGCTTTGAGACGATGTAATGTTGTGATAATGCGCTATATAAAAATAAATTTGTTTGTTATTTGGAAAGATTTGGGGAGGGGGAGCCAAGTAGGGATGCTGTAGGATTGCCCAACTTTGACACTGTAGGGCAGTGCTGCACGTCTGCCTTCAACTGCAGCTTAGTGTAGGACACTGGATTATGCAATTCCGCATGATTAATAGTATTTTACACAACACCTTCAGGACGGACATACACTCCTTAAAAAAATATCACGGCAGATGATAATGCACTGATGCATGATCAAATCTCCAAGGCTGAATACCTCCCAGCCCATCATCGTCACTCTTACAGCTTGGTGTGTCTGGGTTCACAAACTGACATGAAAACAGTGACTCACCACACTGAAGGTCTTCTGGTCAAGCTCCTCGGATTCCTCGGAGATGGGTACATTCTCCCCGCCCGCTGTGATGTGGACCGGAGTGTCGGCTGGCTTCTTCAGCTTCTCCCGGGTATCGCCTTTCGCCTCGTTAACCTGAGGTGATCCATTAACATGAATACCGTTTATACAGACATACACAATAATCTTGGATGGTCAGATGGAAGGTTTTGATGTTGAATTCCACCATCACTCTCGAGGTCTCGGCCCGTCAAGAAGCCACTCACCTTTTCCTCTTTGACCTCTTCCTTTTTATGAGTCGGTTCAACCGGTTTAGTTTCTTTCTTATCCTTTGGTTCCTTCTTGTCTTTCAAATCACGGGCATCCTCTTTCTTATCCTTCTTGCATTCTTTCTTAATTTCCTTCTCTTTGACTTCCTTCTTCTCCTCGGGCTCCTTCTTCATGGGCACTTCCTCCTCTGGCTCTTCCGGCTCCTTGGCCGGCCTTTCAACCTTGGCTCTTCGGCTGGAGGTCTTAACCGGGATGATCTCCTGCAAGCAAACATGCATGGTTACGACAAGCTCTCCCAGACATGGCCTCAAAACCATCATGGGAAGTATCTACACCACACACAACCCAAAGCTCCAAATGAGCCATATCGTGCCGACGTCCTGCCCACAAGTACCTTCTCCTCATCCTTGTCATCCTCCTCCTCTGAGCTGTTTTCTGAGGGCGGCGGCGAGGAATCGCTCTTGACCACCTCCTCCACCTTCGCTGGCTTTGCTTTGTTCTTCTTATTATTAGGCTTCCTCTTACGGGAACTGGCCTGCAGGAAAAAGCGGGTACTTGTTGCAACTAGCAGCATGCAATACTTTTGTAATCTCCACCCCAGCATTGGTCCCAGTCCTTCACTTTCCTCGTTGTGAGTGTTAGTCAGACAGCATCGTTAAAGTAGTTCCATTTCCCACAACAGACAGGCAGAAGACCCCATCTACCTTGTGATGTGTTAAGCTGCTTTGGTTCATAGTCAGGAAGAACCCAAAACGCACAGCTGTCCCTGAGCATAAGTTTCAGGCTGTGAATAATGGTGAGGTTTTGTAACTAGGACTCAAAGGCTGGCATATAGAGCCACAGTCGCTTGGTGAGCTGCATCTGTGCGACGGGGGCGGGGTCCTACCGCGCCTGTTTGCCGCTGGGCCTCCTTCTTGGCTAGATCTTTGCTCAGCAGCTTGATGAGGTAGTCGGCTCGTGTCTGCAGCTGCTTCGCCTGCGGCTTCTTATCTGGGTCATCTGGGAGCAGCTGAATGGGGAACAGAGAGAGAGAAATGAGCGACGGGCCCAGGGTGCCGCCGGGGGAAGTGGGCGCGGGGCGGCTCTCACCTTGTGGGTGAGGTTGAGGTCCGGGTCCATCTTGATCATCTCCCAGCTGCCGTAACCGTACTCATAGATGCCAATGAGCAAGTTGGAGTCGTCTTCCTTCCCCCATTCGATGTCAAAGTGAGCTGCCTTCGAATGGCACGGAATGGTGTACCTGGGCAGAACGCAGCAGGTGCATTTAAAGGAACAGGCTCCATAATGCTTTGATCACTTGTAATAAAATGGGCACTGGATGAAGTCCCAGTCACTACACCCTTAAATGTACTAAGCATTTAAGCTAACTTGAAGGTGAATAGCAGCCATTATGGGATTTTAAGCAGGGCGGGGGGGCCACACCTCTTCCTCTCCTCAGGGTCAGCAGGAATGGACTTGTGAAGCGGCGCCAGCTCCTCTTCGTGTGAGATGACCAGCTTGGCGTTCACCTGGACACCCGAGATCCGAAATGTCGGCCCTTTCACTTTTCCTCGTCTGCCCCCTAGTGGCCAAATTGGGAAGGGAATGGGGGATCATGCCATCCTTAGTGTCATGCTCATAAGCTCAGATGATGTAAGATGGCATAGAAATATGCAGTTTCGTCTTGCAGTAGATTACCTGAGTTCCTCTCTGGACCAGAGGGGTTCTCCCTCAAGGTCTTTATACATCCATTGTGTACAGTTTCCGCTAACCTCTTCAGGTCGTGTTCAGACTTGTCCACTAGCTCTGCATCGCGAGCAATTGCATCAAGCCTTACAGAAAATAAAGGGAGTAGGTAGTCCAAGATTAAAAATAGGCAGAGAAATAGTGAAGTATGAACACAAGGGTGATGATTTTTGTATGGACGATAAGAAAAATGTCTATCAATATTGTAGGAGTACTGTGTGTGTTTAGGGGGCAGCGGGATTCGGGGGTGACTTGGGCCCTAGCAATGCTGAAACTAAACCTACAGCCTTGTATGATCCTCAATCCATATGTGGTAATTACCGTTCAAGTGGTCCACCAAACTTTTTGTAGCTCTTGATAAATCTGCCCAAAAAAAAACATTAAATTAAAAACAGAAAAATGCAGCGACTGAAGGAAAACAATTTAAAGATAGAAACGTGTCACACTGAGATATAAACATATTGCACAGTTGTCCAGCTCCCCAGTGAATTACTTACCTCCGTATTTCAGCATCACTGAACCCTTTTATGTTTTCCCGCGGGATGGTTCGAGGTCTCCCTCGTTTCTTGGGTCGTTTTCGGTCCGTTCCAGAGTCGCTGTCTGACCCAGAATACCTTCGGTTACGGCTGCGCCTGCCTTCGTTCCCATTAAAGCTTATCTGAGAAAACAGGAGCAGTAACACTCATCTTTACACAACAATGAACGATGGACATGTACAAAACCCAACGAAACATGCCTAACTGCTACAGACGAAGATGGAAGGCTGGTGAACAGGGTTGCAGATCTGCACTGTGGTTAAAGCTAACCTGTTTGGCACAATTCCTCATCCGAGGCAGGAGGTAAATCTCCTCCAGCTCCTTCTGCCTCTCCTCCTCCTCGAGTCGTCTCCTCTGATCCTCTGGGATGATATCGTCCCAGTCCTTGGAATTGCCATCGCCCTCCATGTCTATCTGCTCATCTTCCATTGTGGAGAAGTTTGCAACCTAGAATACAAGCAAACAGAAGATCAGTACCTTTATCAGTACTCAGCTGACTAAGTAAATTAACTTTTTTTGAATTTAAGTAAATTCCTTGCACTTAATAAAGAACCTCGCGGTAATTGACCTTGAACTGTGAAAGCAGTTCCTCCCCCACGGTCGAAGGGCCTGGATCGTTCTCCCTCGTCTCAGCCCTCTTGAGGATCTCATCAATGTCCATCTCCTAAAAGGGCAAATCAGACATTTTAAACACACCGGCTTAGCAAACCAAAAACCACTAAGACTGATTTTTGGAAAATACATCAGCAGCATCAACAGTTTCCCCTGACCTGAGGCTCCTGCTCTTCTCCTTCTTGCTCTTTGAAAAGCTCCTCAGCACCAAACTTTAGAATGGCAGACAGCTCCTCCTTGTTGAATGGAGTGGAGCTGCAGGCACAATCAAACATGAAAACATTCACTATATCAGTCATTGCGGGAGTGCATTGTGAATCTTCCCAACCTGAAAGTTTCACTAAAATACAACCAGAGTGTGACTAAGCGAGTATTCACCTAGAGGGAGCAGAGCCGGTGTGGAGAACAGTCTTTCCTGTAGTGTCCATTCTTTGGATCACTAAGTGATCAAGCACCATCTTCTTCTTGGCCCTCTCAATAATCTCCTCCTCAACAGACCCCTTTGTCACCAACCGGTAGATATTCACCTTCACAAGAACAGAAGTGGTATCTTAGGAGGCAGATTGCACTGGTCCCTCATCACCCAAAGAAAAACAAAAAAAAACTAACATACAGGTTTCAGAAGGACCAACCACTGAAGGGTACCTGTTTCTTCTGTCCAATCCGATGAGCTCTGGCTTGAGCCTGCAGGTCATTCTGAGGATTCCAGTCCGAATCAAAGATGACCACGGTGTCAGCTGATGCCAAATTGATACCAAGGCCTCCAGCTCTCGTTGACAGCAAGAAGCAGAAATCCTAAATTTGAGACAGAACAGCGATCAAAAGTGGAAACAAACGTGGCACATTAAACCCCAATCACATCAAATACAGCTGGGCAGCTCAAGCAGAGGAAGGATCAATTTATGACAAAGAGACAATGCAATTGCAGGACATGGCCTAACAGACTTACTTCAGAGTTCTCAGCATTGAAGTGGTCCAAAGCTTGCTTTCTCATCTCTCCTTTAATAGAGCCATCTAACCTCTGAAAAGGAGGGAACATCATTAAATAAAAAAATGGAAGTGCAACAACAGAGGATACAAAAAAAATATACAGCACAGCTATACCTGAAAGAGGAACTGTCGGCACTTCAAGTACTCAGCTAGGATGTCCAGCATCCGGACCATTTGGGAGAAGATGAGCACGCGATGACCTCGCTCCTTCAGACGAACCAGCAGCTTGTCCAGCAGGATCAGCTTCCCACTGCTACGAATCAAATGCTGATGGGAGACATGAGGAGGATTCACATCAATGTTCACTCAACTGCATTTCACTGTCCATCTTAAAAACTTATTTGCTTGCAAGAATTCTATGCTTCATACTGAACCCAGGAAATACTTCTGAACGACGTGTACCCTAGCAGGCATTTTGGACTCAATCTTCAAAGTGTTATGCCACAGGTTTATGTAAGTAAAACATCGACTTAAATCGGGCAATGAAAAGTGCATCTTGTTCGCTTCCACACCTGCAAGGCCTCTTGTTTGTTATAAAACTCGTTGTCCTCTGGGGGTTTGATGAGGTAGCAGTGGTTACAGCATTTCTTCAGCTCCATCATGATGTTCAGGAAACCAGAGGTGCTCCCTTTTATACCCTTACTGAGGGCCTTGTAATTCCGGGTTAATATCCACCTGTTCCAAGCACATGATGGGCCATGTAAATAAAATACATAATCCTCCACCATATTAACCATTCTTGCCTATGTGCTGGGTTTCCTCAGAGGCTCATATGTGGTTTATGACAGAACCACACCGCACAGTATAGGCGAGGCACCCAAAACAAACATGGGATGGTACTTACTTGTAGTACTGCTTTTGGATGGCACTCATCTCCACTCTCAGGATTTGTTCTACTTTCGCTGGGAGGGACTTTTCCACATCCTTTTTGACCCTGCGCAGCAGGAAGGGCTCCAGCTCCTTGTGGAGACTGGTGTAGCCAGAGTCTCTGCCTTTCCCGTGCTCTTCTTCAAACAGCTCCCAAGAATGGAACCTAAGGAATGACATGAACCAAGAATCACCAAGCAGTTCCAGGTCGTTTTTTTGGTGGATTATTATATTATTGCCAACAAAAAATTCTGGACGTTATGGAAGAAAGGCCCTGTTCACTTGAAACTGGCATGCACTGATTGGTGTGGCATTCAAGCTTCTTTCAAAAGAAAACCACAGAATACCCACGATGGCGTGACAATAAGCCGGCAGACGGACACGTGGGGAGGTGTGACCTACTTTTCCGGCATGATGAAGTGAAGCAGCGACCAGAGCTCTTTGAGCGAGTTTTGCAGTGGGGTCCCAGTGATCAGAAGCCTGTGGTTGGACTTGAATTCTATCATGGTCTTGTACAACAGCGAGTCGTCGTTCTTCAGCCGGTGAGCTTCATCCACCCCGATGAAAGCCCAGCTCACGTTACCCAGAAACGACTGCGAGAATTGGGACACCCCATCAGCCAAACAGTAACAATCACGCTCCTTGCAGCCATCCTATTTCAATAAGCATCAATATACCTACAGCCAGCATGTTAGAAGGGTGATTATTACTAAACTGGCATGGGTGGCAACAGTAGCAGCAGCATGGCTTAAGTCTCAGTGCAAACACGAATCACGTGCCCATAAGTAGGAGATGTGCTCCAGGGCCCAGAGGGCGTGCTGCTCCTCACAAAACTGCTTTAATGGCCCATCTGAATAGTGCGAACACGACACCTGGTTTTTCGGGTTAGTCGTGTGCTAATTTTAATTCATCCAGCAAAACACAATGTGCTCTTTTTATGTACCTGCTAATGATGGTGATACTTTACATACTATCTGTGTATGAATAGAAATTCTTAAGTTTCCCATGTGTCACCTTACCCTTCTATGTGACCCGCGTGTGTGTGTGTGTGTGTGTGTGTGTGTGCACCTAAGAGTGGAGCCTGAAGTCAGAGGGCACGGTCAGCCACAGGATATGAACTGACAACCACTTGGACCCAGACTAAAGGCCGGGACATACTTCTCTGCATGCAGACTGTGCGTCTGTGCATCCACACGCATAACTGACATGGAACTGCTGTGGTCAAGCCCCCACAATGTGCACGTTTTAATCAGTAGCGGGAAAAAGTACCCAACTTTCACACTGAAGTAAAAGTTCAGGCCCCATCATCCAGTAAAACACTAAAGTAAAAAATACTTGGTTCCTAAGCACTTACGCTAAAAAAGTACTATACATATCTTACAAAAAGCAACCTGTCCTTTTAAAGGTTTGAATTTGGCACTTACAGTGTAGCACAATAAGGAAAACAGTCACATATTTTCTGTTTATTCAGAAAAAAGTGGTGAAACTTGCTGAGCATGCTGGTGCAGATTAGCAGAATGATGTTCTAATTCTGCGGAAAACGAAAGCTCCATCTATGGGTCAGATTTAATAATAAATTATAAACATCACAGACTGGTACCTTTGGACTTTTTTAAGTGGTGCCCTAAGGGCAATTTTCCAATGCACCAGGTACAACTGGCATGGGTGCTGAATGACGACACGAGGCGGGGCATTTTGTACTGAATTCGAAAAATGGCTGTAGTATATTGTAGGGTTGGACGATGTGCAATTATTAATACCAACATCACATGTTACGCACATGCAGTTCTCATATCACTTGTGAACTAGATTAAGACCAGGCTTTTTCTTACCTCCAATTCTGTACAGACATAGTGCAAGGAGGTTTAAGTTTCGCTAAAATGTTCTTACTGTCATAGGGAACAAACACCTGGCAAACTGCGCAATTTTAATGATTATTTCTTTTCAAGATTATGCAGTGTGTGTTTAAAAATAAGTTCAAAGTTCACTTCCACTGCTTTTGCACGAGCACTGCATGCATTCTCTGAGACAATCATTTTAATTCGTGTCGTTTAACTCACTCCTAAACGGGTGTGTGAGAAATCATATTGCGATATTTGGAAATTTTCCAATACAAGTGCGGCCCTAATACATTCAGATCTTGTATCTATTCTTCTGACCAGATCGCAATTAAAGCCTTGGTCTCTTCATTTGTCCATGCATCCATTTTTTAAAAATCATTAATCGTTTACTGAGTTTGTCCATGCATCCATTTTTTTAAATCATTAATCGTTTACTGAGTTTGTAACTTCCCCCCCCCAAGACTTCGGTTGTATTGTGCTTAGAGGCTATTTGCATAACCAATCGACAAGGAAAGTGTCACCAAGTCCCACCCAAAAGTACCCCAGTTGGTTTCGTACTTTAGTTACTGGAACTCGATCGGAAGTCAGAGGAAAAGGGAAAGTACTGAAAGTACTGCACGCAAAGTACGGCACCTGGGGTGGTGGAAAAGCCCTATAACCCTGGTCTGGCACTATGGAAAATAGCCGATCACTCAATGCAATCATCAGCATTATTTCAGTAGTAGCTTTAGAGCTGCTTATTTTGAATATTGTTAAAGTTTAAATATCGGGGGGCAATATCAGCATATTTACCAATATATCATGCATCTCTACATATAGTTTGTTCCAATATGTAATGCAAAATAAAGAAAGAAATATATTGCTGAAGAATCATGACCGCACATTTACACGCAGGAAACCTTGGCACTTGTAAGCGTTCGACCACAGATGAAGTACATCTACAGGCGCATGCAAAGTATGAACCGGCCTTAACTCCAGCACTACCACCATTACGATTTGTCTGAACCTTTAATTTTGTGCAGAACTGAAAATTTTACTTTTCATATCTCACACACACACACACAAACTCTCTCATGTTTTAACATTCATAGACAAAGCACAGAAACGAACTTTATATGTTCATAAGCATATCTCTTCTGGAAGAATCAGTAAATAAAATGGACAGCACATCCTCCTATTAATCCACTCGTACCTTATCTTTGAGCAAAATCTCATACGTCGTCAACAAGATGTTGAGTTTCAGCCGCTTGCTCTGTGGGTGCATCCACTCGTGTGTCCGGATCTGTGGACAATCCAGTTGGACTCGGTTTAAAACCAGACACGCACACACTGGGATAAGAGCTGACTCTGCATGAGACTGGTGCGAAGAGAGCACTGCAGTACGTGTTACAGCAAACATCACGTCACTGCTTAAGAATAAGGCCTCTTGACGTCTGATATAAGCAGCATTCCAAGAACAGGAGGGGCACAATTTCAACTGTAAGCAGATCCATTGCCTAAATAGCCTGTCAGATGTGTTAGCAACACACATGGAAGACAAGAAAGTTCCAAAACAGTCTCAGGAGATACATACCATGCTCCTGCTGCTAATATCGCCCAGATAGACCACCACGTTCATCTGGGGGGCCCACAACTGGATCTCCCGCTGCCAGGAGGTGAGAGTGGAGAGAGGCACCACCAGCAGGAATGGCCCGTAAAGTTGGTGGTCATTGAACATGTAGTTCAGGAAGCAGATGGTCTGGATGGTTTTTCCAAGGCCCATCTCATCTGCAAGGATGCAGCTGTTTCCCCTGATTTAATGGGACGCACAGAACAGAGTGAGTGAGTGCCGGCGTGGGAGATGCAAGATCGATTTAATGATTGACAAAGCGTGAGAAGTTCTAATCCAGGTCATGTTAAAACCAGAATACATACTTGCACCAAGAGTGAGCCATCCAATTCAAGCTGTCCAGCTGGTAGTCCCGAAGTTCCAGTCCATCCCCACCAATATAAGCTGGTTGTTTCTTCATGGGCTGAAACCTGGGTCTCACCTTTAAAACCTACAGGGAAAAAGTGAGGCTATGAGCAAACTGAATGGCACGATACAAGAATATCATCTGCCAGCCTACATGTGAAGAAGTTACTTCTGACACTGACTTCCAACTTGGAGTCAGACATGGCATTAAGGGCTCAGGTGTTACACCAGCAAAGTGCTTAAACAATTGTTCTAGTAAGACTTACATAGTTTCATGAATGGATAACAAAATTTGCTTTGGATAGTTAAGCCACAAAAGACGACAAATAAAAGCAGAATTCTTGTAAGTACAGCCAGCTACCTTGCAGTCCTTGAACGGAATAGTCTTGGACTGGTTCCGGCTCATGTAGTCGTCAATGCACTTCTGGAACTTTCTGGATATGAGTGCCCCATCTTCCCAGCTGCACTCGGAATAGGAGAGACCCTGCCACTTGCACAGGTAGTCGGGATACCCCGCTGCAGACTTCTGATTTGAGTGAGCTGGCCAACCAAGACGTAAACACACATCAAACAAGACGGACAATTTGATAAATAAATTTAAAAAAAAAAAAAATATATATATATATATATATATA